TGTGAGGCTATAAGTGATTTACTTTTGTGTGTTTTTGTCAGGCAGAAATGTATTTATACCCCCTTAGGGTGTAAGAGGTTAATAATTTATTTTTTAAACAAATATGGACAAACATTTATTTCTCACCATGAGACACAACCAAAGTAATCCATCTGTTAGATATCTGTTGAAAAAAATGTAGCCATGGAGACTCTTTGTGATGATTTATGACAAATCCTAAATAATGACATTAGAATTACAATTTTAAACTGATAAAACCATCTTTTCAGATGTTGCCTAACTGCAGAGCTCCTTCAGTAACAGACTGCTGCACCCTAAATGCACCAGGGAGCTTCATCACAGATTATTCCTCCCAGCAGCTTAGTCAATTATATAACATGCTGCTGTCATTTTCCACATCTCTGATGTTGCTACTATTTTCAAATATTCATCACTGTAAAAATGTCCATAGCTGTATATTTTTGTTATTTATTCTCCAGGTGCACAGTGTTTATATTGTTTAAAACAATTTACCGTACAGTATTTTATTTTATATTTTTCACTATTATGTTATTCTTATACACTCTTCTGAGGTCCACATTTGTGTGACTATTTTTTCGATAATATTTTTGCTGTTGTAAACGCCAGAATTTAACCGATTGTCGAACAATAAAAGGATCTTCTATTCTATTCTATTCTGTTCTATTCTATTCTATTCTGTTCTGTTATATTCTATTCTGTTCTGTTATATTCTATTCTATTCTGTTCTGTTGTATTCTATTCTATTCTATTCTGTTCTGTTATATTATATTATGTTCTATTTTATTCTATTCTGTTCTATTCTATTCTATTATGTTCTGTTATATTTTAATTCTATTCTATTCTATTCTATTCTGTTATATTATATTCTATTCTGTTCTATTCTATTCTATTCTATTCTATTCTATTCTGTTCTATTCTATTCTATTCTATTCTATTCTATTCTGTTCTGTTCTTTTCTTTCTGTTCTATTCTATTCTATTCTAATAAAAATTGAAATTTGTTTTTTTAACTCATTAAAAATGTTTCTTGTTAAATAAAAGAAAATTTGATGTAACACCGTAATAGAACAGAACAGGGCCAAATTTAAATTTATGGTGTACATCTGATCCTGGGAAACGGACCATGCACCATGACGTTTGACGCATGATGCTGTAGAGGTCACGTGACCAGGACCAGCAGCTGATCGCTCATAGCTGAGCTCTGCTGTCGGCGTCAGTAGTGGCGCCGTGCATTTCCAAAACAACAACCAGAGCCCATCATCTCAGGTAAGAGCAGCTGTATCATAGCTCCTCCATAGTGACCGGCTAACATCAGACTGCGAGGCTTTGCTGCGGCGTTAGAGGGCTGATCTGGGATCAGCGCAGCGGTTCATGGATGATGTAAACACATCGGAGCTATTTTCATTTAAATATTCACGTTTCCTCATGCGTTGACTTAAAAACTTTTTGTAAATCTTTAAATCAGGAAATTATTTAACAATGCTCGATTTAAACCATTATGTTTATACAGCAATACATATTTAGCTATTTTTCTATTTTTGATTTTATTACACCTTAATATTAGCTGTTGCCTAGCAGAATTGATGTTTTCCACAATAGTTTATGTAATTAAGACAGTTCCTCTGTCTGGGTATACATTTATATTATATATATAATGTTCTCAAAGAGAATCCTATTAATAATTATATTACCTAGAGGTTAATTCATAAAGCTCGCTTTTATTTGCACACTGATCCATTATTCCTTTCTGTTTGCATAAATTCTCTGTTCTAGTAAAGTTTAACACCTAAAGATAAAAAGGTACCTGGCCGCATTCAACAAATATTTGTTGAGAGTGAGCGAGGGTGTAATTACTGAGATAATCTATTTTCTTTTCAAAATCTGAGGTGCTCAAACCAGGAATTTGCATTTCAGGAATGGAGTGAAAGTATGAAACAAACCAGTTTTCTTAAAAAGATGTGATGGAAGAAGGCAGGTGATTGTCATTTGGTACTTTTAATAACTGTAAATGATTGTAGACTCATTTACAAATAATAGTAATGATTGTATAAATGAAGGTGTGTGGCAGGTGTAAATGTGTACATTGTAAAAATATTTCTTTGCTCATTAAATGGAAAATTTGAGTAGTATGGACTTGTAAGTTAAATAGGAATCGGGGCTATTGCCTATTATTCCTATTAAATGGTGATGATTAAATACGTCTCAGTTCTTCATACCTCTGTTCAGACATACACAATAAATTCTACCTATAACAATATACATGTTATTACAACATTTGCATATTAAGTTTTTTATTTCTTTTTTATTTTTATACATTTTTTATACATTTCACATATTTAAAGGTATGGTGGAAGATAAGTATATGTAAAATACAGATCTGTTGTGCTTTATCATGTTAGGGTGGTTGTAAAGTAGGCCTAACATTATATCAATAATGCATTTTATTTTATAATGCGTCTTAGTTCTAAGATCAGTTGACTACTTTATTAAACTGATCTTAGAAATAAGTAGTAAGTATCTAAAGTTTTCAGCTGTTATGATAATTTGTATTGAAGGTATTTTTTTCTGCACATCTTTAAACAGAAAGTGAAAGGATTTCAAGCCACGGCAGATTAAACAAACGGCTGACATGGCTCCAACACTGGTAAGGAAGCTATATTTAAATAGAAGCTTGTCTGATGTCATGTTTTCCATCTTGTATAAAATATGATGAACACAACCTGAAATATCATTTTAAAAAGCAGAAAAACAAGTTATTTGTACGTCTGGCTGAATGTGCAGTCATATCAGGATGAGTTATGATTATTACTATACCTCTGTTTTCTCTGTATGTGTTCATTTTATTCTTCAGGTAATATACCTTTAGAGTAAAACATAAAAAAAACAAGGTTGTCCAAATGTTAATGTTTTTTTATGACTGCATCTAATTTGATTAAAAATGTTTTGTTTATAAAATGACCAAATCCACCTCTTGTTTTGAGTCCAGTCAAGTCAAATGTTTTGCATGTTAAAAAAAACCCACAGTCTGTTGCAATGTTCAACTTCTCTCTGTCACTGCTCTAATCCCAGTTTGATGAGAAACCCGAGCCAGGGGACCTGATTGAGATCTTCCGTGGCACTTATCAGCACTGGGCTCTGTATGTGGGGGAAGGCTTCGTGGTTCACTTGGCGCCACCCTGTGAGTTAGCCAACACAGAGAACTGGTTTCCAGATTCCAAACTGAATATAAAACAGCTTATGAGCCGGCATGACGACAATGGCATGTGCTTTTTTTAGACTAGAAGGAAGGTTCAGATTATTTTTTTCTTTTTCTCTATATCCAAAACAACTTTATTTAAAAACTCAAACAATAGTTATTATAGTAAAGAAAAACTCTACAGAGTTTCTAAAGATATTTCAAAACAGCCTTTCAAGACAAGGATGTTTGATTTGTATAATCTCAAAGACAAAATTATCAAACATTTTTATCCATGCTTTTATTGTTATTATTGTTGTCAATTCTAATCAAGAGGTCCACACAGGTCAGAGTTTCAAGTAGGAAAGTTAAAGTTTTTCCACCAATCCCATCCTCAAAATCCCAAATGGCGATGTTGTACATATATTTGAGGAAAATCAGAAAAAAAGTAACTATTTACACTCTCATTGATTTCTATCAGTCACAGGCGGTGGAATATAAGATCTACTGATAAGCATGTTGCTAACAAATATGAAAGCATAAACTAGAGAATCATCTTATTAGATTGAATTGCTACTAACAGTTAGCCTGATTATTTAGCAGTGTATAGAAAATCCCAAAAGCCTTTAATATTGGAAGTAAACATTTATGTTTGGGTTCTTCCTGTTAAGGCAGCTCTCACTTTGTGCTGTAAAAAAATGTACGATTTGATGCCGTTACCTGGACTTATATGGGTAGCTTTTTAAGGTAGTGTGGAAGATTTTCACAAACTTTTAAAAAAAGACCTGCCCTCTTCACTTAAAAAAAAGTGAATTGGGCAACCCTGTACCTGCTCCTGAGAGGGTACGCCTATTTAACGCATGAGAGTGCATGCACGAGCCCATTACTCCTCGTGTAAGATCTGTTTAAAAATTTCAGTTTGCTCATAGAAGCTTACTTTCCAAAAGAAGATTTGCTATTTTTCCACTCTGTCAGACGAAAATGGGGACGAGCACGTAGGACAGCCTTACGTAAACAAATCGCCACGATAATTTGACATTTAGGAGGACCACTTATTTTGATGATCCACCTGGAAAAAGAACATGTTCCCCTATACATTTAACCAGCTGGTACTTAAAACTACATTTCTTTTTTTTAAATACGATACAACTGGAACATAATCATCTTAAGTTAACCATGTAAAAGTCTGAGCTGATTTGATTCGATATTTCTGTTTCTGAACTGGATCTGTTTGTCTACCAGTGTTCACTGGAAGTATTGAACTAAATTAAATCAAATAGTATAGAAAACTTTACTCTTTGTCCCATTTTCTCTTTTTGTTTAAAGTGTTCAAGGTGGAAAAAATGTATGATAAAATTATTGGGTGTTAAGGATCTTAATCCTGATCACAGAGCAGTTCATAAAGGGAGGCTTGAGGTGAACCGATTCTAATTAATGGGTTGGTTTGTGATCCTTGACAGTTTGGTTTTGGCTGCCTCTACTTTTTAGTAAAGTCAAAACATTGGGTTTTACCTCACATATAAACTGTTCCTGAATTTGTAACAATAGACAATACACCAATGGTCTACTGTTGCATTGTCTATTGTATTCTGCAACTTTAAATTCAAGTTTGTGTTTCATCAGCTGAAGCACCTGGTGCCGGCTCCAACAGCATGATGTCCGTCCTGACTGAGAAGGCAATGGTTAAGAAGGAGGAGCTCTGGGATGTGGTGGGAACAAACAAGTGGAAGATAAACAACAGTCTGGATGATAAGTACAAGCCCCGTCCGCCTCATGTAATTGTACGAGAGGCCTGTAACATGGTGGGTCAGGAGCTGCCCTACTGCGTCTTCAGGGGAAACTGCGAGCACTTTGTCAACGAGCTGCGCTATGGCAAGGCAGAGTCACGGCAGGTAGGGGTTACAGGCAAGAGATCTAGACAATTTAATACAGAAACATATTTGGCCTTTAACGCAACTGGACACAATTTACTGAGGTCCTGATGAGATGTGTGTTGTATAAATTAAAACAACCCCCAAAACAGTTCGTCATCATCGTCCACATATGGTAGTGCCTGTTTTCTTTGACCCAAGGAAGACACAACAGTTCTTCCAAAATGGAGACATTTTTAACTAATTCACCACTAATAAACTAATAGAAAGCTCAGATTTTTCTGTTTCAGGCTGTAGTAAATGATGATCAGCATTTAACCATTGATTTACAACCCTTTCATGGTGTGACTCAGACAGCTCCACCCCTCTCTTACAAAAGAAATTTTCAGTTTAGATCTGTATACCACTATGAGTCATGGAAAAACCTAAATCATACACAGATTGTAGTCAGGACTCTTTGAGGCATTAGGAGTACTGATCACTTTGGGTAGTGCCAAGATGGCCTCTTTACATTCGGAACTGCCTTAATCCTTCTTGGCATAGATTAAACAAGGTACTGGAAACCTTCCTCAGAGAGTTTGGTCCACATTGACATGATAGCATCATGCGGATCCTGCATATTTGTCGCACATTCCACCGCATTCAAGAAGTGCTCTGTTGGACGGAGATCCACCTCATAGTTGGACGTGTTGTGCTCTTCTGCTTACCTCATTGTTACTGTTTCCGTTCCATCAAATCAGCATTTGCGTCCACAGAATTCCTGGATTCACTGGATATCTTCTCCTTTTCAGGCCATTCTCTATAAATCCTAGAGATGGTTGTGCGTGGAAATCCAAAGTTTCTAAAGTACTTTCTTACTCAGTGTGAATTGCAGCAGTTCTTTTGTCTCCATGCCTATATGTGCTGTATTGCTGACCAGACATTTTTGTTAACGAGCCATTGGAAAAACTTAGAACATCACAAGATATGCATCATTAGCACCAGTTAATTTTCATAGATATCGAAGTCTTTCCAACACATAAAACTATATATAAGAAAAACAACTATTCAGAAACAGTTAAGCACCACATTATACTCCTGTGAGATTTATACTCAAGGAAATAGTCTAATTTAACCAACATCTGTTTTTCATCTTGTTTTTACGGCACTAGTGCCTCGTTTTTCTGACAGCAAAGAGTGTATGAGAGAAGGAGAGGCATGCGGCAAAGGACCACAGGCCAGATTCAAACCCGGGTCGGCCGTGTCTAGGACTAAGGCCTCCGTACAAGGGTCGTGCGCACTAATCACTGCGTCACATATATGCTCTATCTTTCTTTTTAGTTGATGTGTCCCACCCTCAGTCTGATAGATTTATTGTATAAGGCTATAAATTAGGGTGTTGGCCTTCCAACCTCAATGATTTTTGTACAAAGATAAAGCGTAATAAAAAACAAATGAAGAAATGCAAAATGTTACTTGTTGATAATTAATAATTGAACCGGATATAAAACAACATCAATATGGTGTATTTCAAATTATGTGATCCATTTTTTCCTTTTTTACAAGATTAACCTTTCTATTACATTATTGTAATACTTTTAGATGTTTGATTAATTTCCCTTCAGAAACCTCAGCATGGTTGAGGAAAAAATAGATATAAAAATATATGTATGTGTGCGAAGCACTGATCTTTTTTATTCACTGGATAGCCGATTGGTTGTTATTAGTACATGTTGCTGCGAAGCCACCAGCCGCCATATTGGTACTCCCTAGTTAGACCGGTCGGAATGTAAACAATATGTGCTCTAAAGCATTGAAAAACAATATTTTATCATTTTCTGGGGGGCTTAAGACTTTTAAAATAAAGATTTAATTCATCACTTTGACACACACTTGCCGTTTCATAGCATCACTATCATTTATGGTAAAAAATATGCACATCACATTGCATATTCAGTACGAAATCCATGAAGTCTATAAATCATGTGATAGAACATATATAAATCCATCACAACAAAATTAGTTTGTTAATGGAGCATAATAATATTGTAGTCAGATAATAAGAACATTACACACGCACACACCCACTATCTGATGACATCTAATAGACATGTATTGATTACATTGTTATGGCAACTACATTTCACATATAATTTCAAGATTTTACATCAAGACTGAATTACAAGTGCATGTCTGTTATTAATATAGTATTTTTCTATTTGCAAATTGTATATATATATATATATATATATATATATATATACATACACAATTTGCAGATAGGCATATACAGACAGGCAAACAGACAGACAGACTGATTGATTGATTGATAGATAGATAGATAGATAGATAGATAGATAGATAGATAGATAGATAGATAGATAGATAGATAGATAGATAGATAGATAGATAGANAGATAGATAGATAGATAGATAGATAGATAGATAGATAGATAGATAGATAGATAGATAGATAGATAGATAGATAGATAGATAGATAGAATAGAAATTTTAGAAATTTAAGAATATTTTTCCCCCAAAATAAATAATTCAGTTTAAGTGAAGCTGAATTTCTCTCCCCTGCAGGTGCAGAAGGCCGGTGAAGTTGTGATGGTGGCTGGTATGGCTGCTGCAGTGGGTCTGGGTATCTGCGCTCTTGCCGGGGCTCTGTTTGGAGGAAGCAAAAAGGAAAACAAGGAGGACACCAAGTGACCGAGGTCCACAGTGGTTTATTCTGCAGCTATGAATAACTCATTACCAGCGTAGCCTAAAGGCCACTCAGCACAACTTATTACTGATAATTCTGCCTAAGTGACATACAGATACTATCTGTGATTTTAACTGGAACTGACTGACCTGTTAGTCTTCCCCACTTTGTCTTTAACCGTTCATCAGTTGATCTGAAAGGTTCAGGTTTTCATACAGGTTTAGGTTTTCATACTTTTCTCAGTTCAAGGGTCTAAAATTTCTACAGAGGACAAAGTCTTTTTACTCATAAATGTGCCATTAGAGAAAAAGACCAATGTTAATAAAAATTTCATACAATATTTTGAAATATAAACATTGTACTTTTTTGTAAATACAAGAAAAAATTTGAAAAGTGATAGTAATAGAAGTACAACTATAAAAAGGAAAATGTAAATCTTTATGACTTATTAAGTACCGGTAATAATTATATAAATATTTTAAATGACTGATGTTGATTAAAAATTTGTCCTAATGCTCACCGAAATTGTCTTCCTCTGACTTTCAAGTGTTTGTTAATAAATAGCTTGTGTGGAAGTTAAGTTGATTGCCCTGTCATTTTTCACTAAGTGTAATTTGAGATAAATAAATGAGGTTAAAATTTTCTGTTTGATAGGTTATGTTTGAAAGCGACTTTTAAAAGCCCAGGCAGCCACACTTGAAAGTCATGTTTATTTGAAGTAGAAGGAAATTCCAAATCTTAATACATTCAAAAGTTCAAAAATGCTTGAAGAAATATATCTCACCATCTAATGTCTTGAGATGTGGATTTTTCACAATTGTATCTGTATTCTTTAATGACCAAAAAAGCTAAATTAGAAGCTCAAAAAGGAATGAAATAAATGTAGTTTCTTTTTTGGCTTTTCTTCAATAAATCAGCATTTTTTTATATAACCCTGCTCCAAATGTGCCGCTTGATAGGATCCTCTAACTTAAATGGTATGGAACAGTTGAAAAATATTATTTTATCTCAAATCAAACCTAAAAAAGTAATAAAAAAAAAGAAAAAAAGAACAAAAAATTATTTTCTTTAAATGAGTGAAAAATTTATTATTTTTCTGTTATTTTCTTGTCTCAGTGAGATAAAAAGTGTATACTCTTTATTTTATACCAAAAGTGATTTGTTTTTTTTGGTTTTTTTATCTCAGAATTCATCAAATCCAAGCTTTCCCAGAAGATATGTTTTGACCAAGATCCAGTAGCTGTATTTAGATTAACCAAGATTTTGAATTTATCATTTACATATATTAGTAAAATATTAGCTTATTTTAGCATAATTAGTTATTGGGATTTTTTCTTTTATAAGCGGGTAGTAAATTTTAATAGAACTGATACAGCAAAATTACCCAATAAAGCCAACTTTAGCCTCTCGAACTCCGGATTCCAGAGATTTTTTTAGTCAAACTGAACAGAGAATCACTTCTCTTTTCTACACAGTGGCTTAAAAACCTTCTTTTAACCAGTTATTGTAGGTGTTGACAGCTGCAGGCAGGAGGGATCTTCTGTAGTTGTCTGTCTTGCACTGGATCAGTCTTTGAAGATAAATAAGGAAGAAAGTCTAATCGATAGGGTATCAGTTACAGTTCATCTCCTAATGGGTATAGGACATTTAGGAAAACACCCACTATTTTATCTTCTGATCTATGGTCTGTAACTGCTCATTAAAATATCTCCCAGACTACAGCTTGTTCTTCTCACTTGACTTTTAAAATAAATCATAGAAAGATGTAAAAATATTCCTAAAAAATATTAAATTCTTTTTAGTTAATCTGATTTTTGGGGATAAAGCATAAATTCCCATTAAATAAATTGGTCTATTTTGTTTTTATTTACAATTTCTTTAAAAAAAAAAGTTATATAATTGAGAAAACAAGAAAAGAATGTGAATCTTCAAACGTTGAATAAGATTTATCTGTAAAAGCACATGATCTAGTCTTTGGCTCGTCAATGCAAAATAATGAGATTAGCTAGCAGAGAAAATTAACTTTAGATTTAACAACCGTCTCACCCAAGTATGAAAACTTGAAATATGTGGAAATGGAGCGTATTATAAAATATATTTTTATTGACAAAAAGCACACATGCTCTATGATTTACAATGCGGCTGCTGTTGAATGTGTCCCTGCATCCAATTTGACCAAAACCAATTTTAGTCCTGACCAAATTAGGGAAGACTAAAACTAAATATTTTTCCTGTAAGTTGTGACTCCTGGTGACGTTTTGTTAATGCAATTCTCCCCCCAAAAAAACCTCAGAAGATATTAAATCATCACGAAACCAAGAGGATGTAAACAGTCTGTGGGTTCTACTGTATTTCTTTAACATAGACGTCAAATTATTGTTGTATTAAATCAGAGAACGCACTAAAGAGGTTGAAGTAAAGCTCAAGATACATAAGAAAAGGAAAACGGAACTTTTTACTGAATTAAAAAAGATCAAATAAATTGGACAGATGTATAATTTAATAGTTTTATTAAGGAACAGTACACATGCACCATGATTGGACCGGTGACCCTCTTCAGACCATGAGCACACAGCTTCTAGCATCTCATCACCTGAACGTCCACATCCAGAGCCTCAGCCCCTGCAGCAGCCGTCACCGTTTTCCTGCCGACATCATGTCACATCATATAGACACAGAAAATAAAAGGCGACAAAGAAACCTTCAGGTTCAAACAGTGCGATGCTTTCAGAAGTTTAAGTTCTGTCGTTTAAACGGCGAAGATGCAGGTTTTGAGGGGTTCACTGTAAGGATAGATCTGTAGCTAACTAGAAAGGCACAAACCAGAAAATAAAAACATAGAATCCACTCATACCAGTATGAGCACTGAAAGTTGCACTGGAATTTTTCTTTTGCATCAGCAGTTAATCTGCTATGCTAATACAACTGACCCCCGAAAAAAATCCCAGAATACATTGCTGTAAACGGACCATCGTTTCTGTCATCAACATATTTCTATTATTCTCTTCGCTTAAGATGTTTCATTTTCCCTTCAAACATGACAGAACCAACACCCCCTCACAGAGTTAATACAGTGCTATATGTGCAACATGAAGATATGTATGTAATTTGTTGTCATGGAGATTGTTAATAGGCCACACAGGTGCATGCATGGACTGCTTTACAGTCTAAAATCTGGATCAGATCGACTAAAAACAGTCAGTGTGTGTGTGAATACAGAACGTACTGAAAAACATCCATCTCACCAATACAGAACGTTCTGTTACATATATTCATCTTAAAAAAAAAAAAAAAAAAAGGTAAGAGTGAGGGTGTATTAATTTAACTTAAAAAAAAAAAAAAAAAAGGTAAGACATGATGCACATGGTATATACATTTACTGTACAACGGTAACTTTATGATGGACGAACATTTTGTTAAATAAAGTCTATTGCAGCCCGCTTAAGTCTCTTTGGATTTTCTGTCACTTTTCTGTCTTTACCTTAATTTCTATCAGTCCTTAAAAGAGAAAAGGCAGAAAGTCCAAAAGCTGGATTCCAACAACCACCTTCTTCTCAGTATCCTTCCTTGTTCAAAGAGCTGTTCAGTTTCCTGTCTTGTTTTCTACTGGAAACTCCTTCCACTCTGGTCTCTGGTTCATGTCGCAGCCTCCCTGTTGGACCCGATTCAGTCCAGCTTTCGTGCTCCAAGTTTAAGAGGCCCTTTAGCAGCTTTACGTTCGGCCCGTTTGGCCTCCAGCTCTTTTCTCCTCTCCTCTCGTTTCTTCTTCGATAGCTCTGACTTGCTGAGATCTGAGTTAAAACAATCATTTATACTTAATGACTGAAGGAGAACAAAGTTTATATAACAATTACAGATGTATTTACTGTATAAACTATTTCATTTATTGTTAAATATTATTTTCCTTTACAGTTATAATAAACTTGGTCTAAATACACAAATTCCCAGTACAATCATTTAGATTTGGTTGCGATCTGACAAAAACGTGAAAATATTTCAGTTTCAATGCTAACTGGCCTTCTTTCACAAGCTGTTTTTGTCACCTTCAGTTAAATGGAACTAGAACTAGAATAACTTTGGTGCCATAATGCCAAGTTAAGGTTCTTAACAGAGACAGAGAGCACAGCATAAAAAAGCTGCCAGTTCTTCCTGATATCTTAAAATGTTGAGAAATTCCCCTTAATATGTGACGCCTTCATTTTAGTGAGAACCTGAAACTTTGATTTCTGAAGCTTAATAGCACAATGTTAGCACTTTAATATGTCCTGCATCAAGGACATGATAAGGGATCTCAGCTGAAGGACTCACTTTGGCCTCCTTCCACAGACTCCCAGCTCTCGGTCCCCCAGTCTCCTATCGTCTCTGAGCTCCAACCTTCTCCAGCCTGTTCAAAACAGACATAACAACAACATCAGTGAGAAGGCTGCATTTCTATCATAAACAGCGTCCCAGCACTGTGCTTGGACCATATTAGAATTATTTAAGTGTTTAGATGATTGCTGGCAAAAAAAAAAGAAAAAGTTAAAAGGCAAATTTATCTGATTCGGTTTTTAACAATCATGGTGGCCCACACCTTTTTAAAATAAACACTATCTGACCGCAGCAGAAAATACAGATGAACAAATGTATCTTTCATTTTGTTTAAATTTATATTCAAACAGGTAACAGCGAATCAGGAATAAAGAATTACTTTTAAATTAAACCGTAAAACTTAATAGGATTTTTTAAAAATATAAAACAGCATCAATTTTCCCCATCAGATATTAGTATTATAATTCCTGTAAATCATAACATGTATTAATGGTTAGACACATAGATTTACCAAAATATATAAGCTGTTTAAAAGCACTTAGTTGCAGCATATATCAGTTTTTTTTTACCAGCTGATTATTTATACTGTCTGCTGCTAACAGACATGCTGTATTAAATATGGTATTTAAGCCAATAAGAGTGATGAGCAACATGAATTTAGATTTCAGCCCATGAAGAAGGAGCTTTCCAAACATTCTTTTTTGTTTTATAAGCATGGTTAAAATGAAACCGTTTCAATAAATTAAGCTTTATTTTTTATGATAAACTATAAATAGATGTCTGTTATGGCTCTCTACACATACCAGACATTATTTGGAATGTACATATACCACTAAAACAATCTCGTTGGCGCCCTCATCAGGTTAAAAGAAGTCACTGCATCTGATTTTGTGCCATTAGCTTAGTGAGGAATGGTGGATAAATGATTTCTGCAGCTCTACCCAGGGAAGCTGCTCTACACTAACTAGCTCCTCCAACACACCATGGTTTACATTTTCTTCATTATAAAAGTACATTAAAATATTTAATGTATTACAGTAAAAAAAACATAAAAAACAAGTGTAAATCATCTCTCCAGCCTAGTATTGATTTGACATTAGTTGATTCAGTCACATGGCATAAGCCAGATTTATAGTCTGTAGTTCAGAAAGTCGGAGTCAGAGGCTCAAACTGGTCCGGCTCAGGGCTAATAGCCTCCTCTCCTCCCCCCCGTTTCCTCTGTCCCTGATGAAGATGTTGGAGAGAAATCCTCCAAATACAAGTTAAATCCCTTTAACATTTTTGAATAATAAATAAAGATTTTTATATCCCAGTACTGATTCAAAACTTAGATGTCTGCCATAAATTCTAGTGCTACCGAAGCTCTGCAGATGACAGAGCGATGTGACCCAATGATCCACAATGAAAAAAACGTATTTAAACATCAGACGTGGGTTTGTATCTGTATCTCCTGGTTTGTTCCTTGTTGGGATCTCACCGTGGTGGCAGACGTGCTTCTCTGCGACACGCTGGCGAACAAGTCATTCTGAGTGGCGCCCTTCCCGGTGCCCCCTTCCCAGTTGTACTCGCTGGCTAATCGGACACCTTCAGGCAGAGGCAGGTTTTTACTGGCAGGCCTCACATCCGTCTCCTCCTCCCCCCAGTCGTTGCCCCAGCCTTCCTCGCCTGCCGAGCTCTGCCCTTGGCCTTCCTTCTCGTTGGACCAGCTGTCGTCAGCGTCCCAGCCTGAACTGCTCCAGTCAGAGCTCTGCTTTTTAACCGCCATAGAGGCAGAGGATCTTCCAGCCTATATGGTGAAAGAAAGATTTTAGCTAAAGCTCAGATTCATTCAACAATACCCTGCACTATTTGAGCTGACGGGTATGATGTCATTAAACAGGTGATGCTTCAATAAGCAGAGAATATAGCTGAATTGAGGATGGCACATAAAGAACCCCTTACTCCTCTATCGCTGGCCTTCTTTTTGGATGATGCCGATCCAGACCAGTCTGTGTTCCAGTCATCAGCCTGAGCTTTCCCTGGCTCCTGGACAGAAAGAAACGGTTAATCCAGCTCAATCCTGTCTATGTTCATGAGAATGTGGCATCAGAATAAATAGGTGTACCTCCAGGCTGCCCCAGTCCTCCTCTTCGTCCCAACGCTCTCCAATCTGCTCCTCATCATTGTCTGTGGCTTCATGGGTCTGAGACTGGTTGGCAGGGTCAGAGGCACTGAGCTGAGCTGAGGGGGATTGTTGGGTTTTATCCTCAGCACCTAAAAGATTGAAATTATTACCACCGTTTCAAACAGAATAAGGATCAGGGGGTTACAGTCCAAACACAGCCCAACATCTGGACCTTCTTAGTTTATCTTAACAAAATAAAAAGCTGTACCTTTACTTAAGGCTGATGCTCCATCAGTGGAGGGCGTGCTGGCGTTCGTCAGACCACCACCCTCCGATGCTGGCCCCCCCTCGGCACCAGGATTATTGCGGATGAGTTTGGAGGTTAGCGAGGACACGCCGGTTACTGCCCAGCCTGCCCAACTAGAGGCAGCGCCTGCTGGCTGAGCGCTGGACCCCACATCTTTCTCTGAGGCAGAGCAGGAAGAAGAACCCAGAAATCAGAGATGCGCTTCCCGTCTTTTTTGTTCCTCTGTTTTCTTGATGCATTTTTCTTTTTAATTCGATTGTTATTGCTACGTTCCAACAAATCATACAGCTCAGCACATATACTGTAACCATAGTGAACTATCTGCAGCAGGAAAACATGGCCACTGTAACCCTCCTCTGATATTAAGTTTAGAAACATTTCCAAAGCCCTTACCACTCCCCAAACTAGTTTGCTGTTTGAAACATCTGTCCCAGGGTTTTTTCTTAATTAGCTCATTGTTTGCTGCTGTTGAGATTTTGTGCTGTTCGGCAATCCTTGACTTTCTGCATCTGTTTCCCATCCTTTCAACCCTTAGACTTCCTCACTCACACTAAGAATTATCTACAGCCTGGTTCCACCCCACTTTTTCCACACTGGTTTCTCCATCGTTCCACCAGAGATGTAAATCCCACCCATCATGGCGATTTGATTCACTATCCATTTCCTGACCCAACGATTCGATTATTTTCCATACCCAAGAATAAACCATGATACGATTCGATTAATTGGCTAATTTTATTTTATTTTTTTTACTTACAGGCTAGACAATGTCTCAAATTTGAAATAAATCAATTAAAGCTGCAATATCGTTATGCTTTTTATTTGAGAAACAACAGCAAATAACAGAAGTAGCAAAGTTTTATTCCACCTAGGCCTATGAAAACCTCATTCACTGAAAAATAATAATGCCTCTGTGTTTATGTGAGTGTGTGTGTGTGTGCAAGCGGAAAGAGGGTAGTGGCTAAAGGAAGCAATGTAGAATTAGCGCCACCTCAGCGCGGGAGTCAGAATTACGTCCAGGAGCAAATGGAAAAAAAATAGACCGGAGGAAAAAAAAAACATAAATCGATACTCTTATGGAGGACGTGTCGATGCATCGGATCGTCAGCTGTTGGATCGATGCATCGATACAAAACGATTATTATTTACACCCTAAGGTTCCACCCCACCTGGTTTCTCCCTGGTTCCACCCCATGTGCTTTGTCACAAGGAGGGGTCGCTGAAAGAATCTAATGGACTTTCTTATTTAACAATCAGGTTATTTAAACTTAAAGTTTGATACTTAAAATCAAGTTGCTCATTATTTCATAACTTGGATTAAAAACAAAATATTTAAACAAAGATTTGAGATGAAAAAATAACACCCCTTAAAATAATATAAGATGAATTACAAAAAATGGAGACTAAAACATTAACAAACAAACTAAGTTTGTGATGTTTTGCTTGTTAGACTGAACCACCACTTTCATCTAGACATCAAAGACATTTCAAAGTAATCTGTTATTATAGGGTTCTCGAAGCTAAAGATGTAGAGAAAACTACATAAACCAAGTTTTATATTCTTTTAGTAGAAAGTAGCTTAAAATGTTTAAACTCTGGGCAATCAGAAATGTTCTCTACCATCCAAAAACTAACTGTTGTTTACCTGAATTGTTTAAACTGATCTGAAGCTGACTGGATATGACATAAATAGATCCTGACATTCCCACACCTAAAACAAGCTGTATGACTGAATTTTACCGGAATAAAAGTCAACTGAATTTGGATCCAATAAAACCAGGCAGGAATTGGACTTGTATGTGTTAAAAGACTGATGCTGTTTGGAGACATTTACTGTGAAGTGATTTTATATAAATAAGATGAATAAAAACCTCTGAAAGTTCAACTTTAACATCAGACCCGGAAATATTTGTGAAAATGCAGCAAATGACTTGAATGTAAACTTTATGTTCTCTAAATATTAACCTAAATAAACAGTTTAGTGAATTTGCTTTTGTTAATCAGACAATCCAGCTTTCAGCTTTTGAAATGTAGAGTAATGGAGGTTAGATGAAGGTTGTAAGGCTGCACTTCTTAAACATACAGTCGGTCCCATTACTTTTTTTTAAATAAGTTTTTCTTTTGCGACTCTGCAGGTTAGATCAGGTGTTTACTTACCAATCTCAGCCAGCTTGCTTGGATCTTCAGAGACTGTCTCCAGCTTGGAAAGGAAACTCTTGATGGCTTTAAAGGCCTGAAAGAAACAGAGAAAGGTTGGCTTGATCTGAGAAGAAGCAGCGTCTGATAGCAGTATGTGTGCAAACGTTCCTCTACCAACTGTCAATAATCTGGGTTCAAGTTCTGTTTCTGTTCCAAAGTTACAAATTATGGTTTTAACAGCTCAAGTAGATGTTTAGGGAATAAATATCTTATGCTTTGATTTCACTGCCATCAGTAAATCTATATCTAATACATATTTTAAATGCTAATGATCAGATTGCATTAAATGATACATGAACAACCTTTTGGACAGGTCAAAGTGAACCCAAACAGTACCTGCTCCCTGACGCCCTTATCAGGATCCACGGTGACGGCACAGAGGGTGGGCAGGATCCGGGCTGCGATCTCTGTAACACTGTAGTAGTTGTGTGTTGCTGCAAAGCCCAGAACACCAGCAGAACGCGAAGCAGGAAACGGGTCTTTAGTTGCTCGAGAGAAGGCAGAGATCAGAATTCTCTGTCGGGTCTGCAAAGAAAAGGACATTTAATACCTTTTTTTTGTGTTTTTTTTTCATGAATAAAAATACAATGAAAACAACCACAGTGTTTGTTTTACCCCAGCGTTGAGGTAGGAGGCGATTTTGCCCAAACACACGGTGGTGTTGCATCGGATCGGGCCCTGCTCATCTCTGGCCTGCAGCCGGGCGAAGTGACGCATGAGCTCTTGGTTCAAGTTGGTCTCATTCAGTTTGGGAGCCAGCAGCAACATCGACTGAGGTGACCAGGATGGAGAAAGATGGAGGATTCAGGTCCAGAAGAGCAGACAAGGCTTCTACATTTGATTCTGTAAACTCCATACCTTAACGGTCTGCTCTCTGATGGCGGGGTTGGTGTCAGTGAAGCCATGAACAACATGAGGGAAAATCTGGGAATTAACAGCTGCCTCGTTAAGATACTGGATAAACTGCTCCATCTGGGAAACAGAAGAGAATAAAATTCACGGTTGGTGATAAATAATCACTTTCAACCTGCCGTATGTGGATGTTCATCGTTATTGGCTAAAGGAAACTTTGATCCCTAAAGCTTAGAGTTTAGTCTAAAATATGGATTTAACTCAATAAACAGATATTCCAGATTACAAAAGTTTTAATGTTTTTTTATTTATTTTTTTCCATACATATGCAGTCAGAATTAAACATATAAGCTTCAATAAAAGGAAAATAAGCCAAAAATATGTGAATACAAATATCAATTGTTGGGCTTCAGAGGAATCACACGAGCCATCGAGAAGCTTTCAGTTCCACTCTGATTTGACAGGGAATTATATTCTAGTTTAAATTATCTGGTTTCTTTGCACAGTAGCAGCTTTTAAATTTAGTCATTTTAATGGGGATGTGGGCTGCTATTTATGTTATTCAATTCTTTAATAGTTTGGATGTTGATTCTGAATCATTTAGCAGTCTGCACACCAAACCTAAACTATCCTCCTCTGAAGAGAAGGAATTGATTCAAAAACTGATAACCACAAAGGATTAGGCCTATAAGCTGGAAGTTAGTAGAACACCAGTGTTACTGTCTCCAGTTAGGCATGGTTTATATTAGTCAATCTAACTTTTAATGTGTAAAACTTGAGTAATAATCCAGGCCTTCCAGAAAACTTCTTGAGAAGGAGAAGGCCACCTTTAAAGGCACTAGTATGAAATGTGATCTACCTGCTGTAGGAGTCGTATTCTCATCGCTCGGTCTGTGGAGGAAAACATCTTCACGATGACTGGAATGATTTTCTGTTGGTATTCTTCTGCTGAAAGGAACTTCCCCACCTGTAACACAGACAGTCGGTGATTTTCTTCTTTCCTAATGAAATTTTTCTGTTTGAAGCTTAAAGAGAGAGTCACAGTTGAATGGAGACATAACATGATACCTTAAATAGGGGCGTTAGGATGACGGCGCCTGCGTTTCCAAACTCAAAGGCTGTGAGCAGCTGAGGCAGGACTTTATGTTTACAGAAGTCTTCGGGAAAAGAGTCTAGATGATCGTTAAGATCCTGAAAGAACTGCTGTTTCTCAGCTGGGTCCTTAATCTGGCAAAGAATAGTTTAAAGATGTCCTCGTCATTTTTAGAAACCACTTTATTTCATGTCAGAAACTCTCTTTTAAATCAGTAAAACTGAATTCAGTTAGCAGACTCGATAGGCCCTGACTTAAAATTTTTTTTGGTTTTTAACTGTCCAAAGTAAAGCTGACCTGGATCTCCTCCAGGAAAAGGTTGCTTTCCACAAAGCTGTTGCTGAGGAATCCTCCAGGAGCCCTGCAGTTCTGGAGGAAGCGGGCTGGGTTGGGTCGAGCCCGGGGATTAGCCCCGACCAGCTCACAGTAGTGGGGGACCAGGGTCTTTGGAATCTGTAGGAAAACAAAAAAATAAAATTAAATCACCAAAATATCAATCAATCAATTAAACAGGGAAATTATTAATAAAAGACATAGTTTGGTAAAAATAATATCATTTAAAACCTATCTACACCTAGCAGCATTTTTTCTTTTATTTTAAATCAAAGATCAAATTGAAAAAAAAAAAAAAAGTCTTAAATAATTTGATAAGGACAAACATGGATGCTGCAAATACATAATAAAAAATGTGTTGGTTATTAGGAGCCATCATACCTTTCCCAGAGATCTGAGGGATGATGTCCGAGGCAGCGGTCCATTAAAAACCTCCCATATCAGACATCCCAACCGCCACACCTCTGCTGTCCTGGAAACCAAAATAAAACCAGATCAATATCTCTGCTATCCACCTGTTAAAATGTCCTTTGAAGGCCCTCTGTCCTCACCATTTCTCCCCACTACTGTTGGGCGTCTCTGGTGGGTCGTATTTCTCCATATCAGGGTACACCGCCTTCGGGCCGGGGAGAGAGACCCCACTGGGGTCACCCTGCTCAGGAGCCACATGATCCAGGGCACCCAGCTTCCACTCTCCTGCCCGATCCACAAACACAGCCCAAATGCCCAGGTTGTTATGAAGCAGGTGGCAGTCATTGACCAGAAAACTCAGAGCTTTCTGTAAGGAGAAAGAAACAACAAGGAATGCAGGGAGAGGATAACTTTTAGCAAATACTGAAGGATCTGCTAAACAAGATGTTCCCTGACAGGATCAGATATTATCTCAGCAGATTCTTACTACTATTTGGTGCAGACCCCAGGAGATCTCCAGTTCCCCGACGCCGCCCTTCTCAGCCTGGGTCTTCAGGTGAACTGCTAGAGGGGTCACCTGCTCGGTGACCACATAAAGGCTCTTATCTGTCTGCCAGAAAAAACAAATAAACAAGGATGAATAAAAGTGGGGTGTTTTAAACCTACAAATATTTGCTCCACTACTGCAGCCTCAACAGACTCCTAAACTTAACAAAACCTTTCAGTTACCTTCCTATCTTAAGGTTTTAAGATATATATATATATAATATTATTTGGGTAACATGTGCGTCTTTAGTTTATGTCAAATGCTTTATGGTTTTAAAAAGACAAAAAAAGATTTACAAATGATGAACTTTATTTATTAATAGTCTAATGTATAAAGATGTGTTAATCTAGCAGTACTTTCTAAGCGTAAAAAAATAAATCTTGAATAAGTCTCTACAAAAACAATAGCAAAAACAAAACCCTGGCATCATTTAATATACTGATTATTGAGCTCAGCAAACCAAAAAAATTTAGATGCTGCTGTTGTGTCATAATAATTAAAATGTTGACTATTTGCCCATTTTAGTTCTTAAAAAAAAAAAAGCTTCACGTAAAAAACAAGATAACCAGTAAACAAGGCTCCTTCTCCTTTTTCATGCTAGTCCAGTCTACCAGAGCCTCCAGTTCTTTGTACCTTAATGCTAATCCTAGCATAATCCAAAGTTGTATAAATGGTGTAAAGCTTTACATGGTGAACAGTAGTGTGAATAAATTGATGCATGGAACTTTTACAGCACAGGAAAGGGAATAGTCAATATGGTTTATAACATTTGGATTGGAAATCATTTGAATTGGAGCGATTCAAGAAGAATTTAAAAGTTAAAAACCTTTTGCAATCAATTCACAGGGCCCAATCCTACATTCTCCATATTTATACAGCAAAGTGAAATACTGCTAGTTAGTATCAGCATTGGATTATTAAAGAGCAACCAAAAGACTAAAAAGACAACAGACATATTTTACAGAAGCACCTCTATCAGCAGAACAGCAGCGTAATCTAAAAAGCACTGAGGTGTTAAACTCATAAAGGTTATAGGGAAACATCCCCTAATAATCCAAGGGTAATGAAAACAAAACATTGAAAATACTTTCTGTATAATAATCCTGTTACAAAGAAGAAGGTTGGGGATGCACTATATATATATATATATATCTCCTATGCACCTTTCTCTTCCTCCAGCACCTTCTTCTTCTCCTTTGACTATTTGAACTGATGTAATGAGTAAATTTCTCCACTGTGAGATCAATAAAGTCAATCAATCAAAGAAGCAAATGGACTTTCTCCATTTATAATCCATTTCTTTATTCAAACTAGGGCTAACACATCTCTCATATTAATCGTGATTAATCGATTATTTAAATAATCGGCAACTAATTTAGTAATCGATTGATCGTTAACTGAAGTAAAGAGACTCTAAAACATGTCTTTAGCTGACAGAGCAACAGTAATTATACAAAAATTGCAACAACAAAAAAAAAATACATAAATATTTTGTATTTTAAATCTTTAAAAAAAATATCCGTTAATATGCCCTACCCAGAACTCCGAAAGTGGAAAAGCTTTTGATTCACTTGCTTAAATTCTTTTAAAAAAATCTTCTTTTAGGATGCTTTTGCTATCCGATTATTAATCGAATCGATTGGCAAAATAATTGTTAGTTGCAGCTCTAATTCAAACATTTAGGACATTTTAATAACCTGAATGGTTTAACATTGTAGATCTACACAGGGAAAGCGTACAGACTTTTTACACATGCAATGTTTGTGTAAAAATGTCACTTTCGAAAAATCTAATATATTCATATATTTCTGTCTATTTTTAAATATTTTTCCAAAAAATATTATTTATGTTAGTAATAGTATAAAATGTAAACATAATTTTAGAGCAGCTTATCAGAGACTTTATGCTTTGAATATTTAATCAGCAAAACGCCTGCATATCTCCTATCAGATGGATGAAGAAATGCACATATACATGGATGGATGGACTGAGACAATGGCTAAAGACCAAAAACCCATCCAGATTATGAAAATAAACCGAATCTCCATCCTTGCGGTGTGAAGCAGCTCTATACTGTAGGATCCAATACAGCCATTGAAGATGTCACATTATCACACACAAACAAAAAACTACCATTAAAAAAATTTAGGAGACAAATGAGGAAGGTGTGCTGCCGCTTAACTAGCCTCTAAAACAACATTACAAATAGAACTGCTCACTCACCTCCCTCTGAACATAAAGCATGGGCAAAAAAAGCACATGTAAGAAAAAGCTGAACATCTTTCAGTGCTGAGGCTTAAAAAAAAAGACTTTTTAAACAAATATATGAACAATATGACAGAAAATGCATACCTCCAGTCCATCTACATATGCTAGGATGTTAGGATGACGCAGGGTCTTCATCCGCTTGAAGGCAGCTTTGGCTAACTGGCTCTGCTGCTCTGTCCCCTGGGCCACCTCATAGACAAACACAGACACCGGATCCCCGGAGGTCTGAAAGAAGCGACCAACGATTAAACTATTAAACAACAACACTGAGATCAGATATTAAATGCTAGAAACGAATCAATCCGTTCATCTCCTGAAAGGAGGAAGTTGGCGCTCAAGTGTCATCTGATCCTGCGGTAAAAACGATGAAGGGGAAAGATGGTCTGAATTTATTGTTTTAAATAAAATGACAGCATTGGAGTCAGCAATCTGTATCAGTTTAAACGCGAGACAGGTCATTTATTTAGACGTTATTGTAAATTAATTCGCTTTAAACAAGGTGACGTGGCGAGAAATGCGTGTCTCTGCAGGAGTAAACACCGATGCTAGCTTCACTTGGAAAGAAAACATCCAGATAAAAAAAATCTACGGTGGCATTGAATGAAAAAAACTAAATCTGAGAACATGTTAACAGTCCGTATCAGGAGGACAAATTAAACTCTTGGTTTTGTTTTATTGCTTTGATGAAAGGCCTTCATAAACAGATGAGCTAAAGCTAACAGTTAGCGAAGGATCCGCAACCTTTACCTTTCTCTTCCCCCGGTGCAGGGTCCATATTCCCGACTTCTCTGGGCTGTCTGGGAGAATTTCATAAGCGAAGTCTTTGACGGGATCCCTGGCGAAAAAGGACCACATTTCACTTCGCTCCCAAACCTCATCAAACACTTACAGAGACACGGCGGCAGAGCTCTGCAGACTGATGCCTCAGAAGCGGCTAGTTGTTGGCTAACGGGGTAACTCAAATTGGAGCGGATGAAAAATAACTCCGTGAGAACCACGATTCACAACAATCGTTCCGGAAATCAGTTCCGTCTGTTTTTTTAACAGTACCGGTCATCTTCCAAAAAACTACTTTAAAATTGACAATATTTTTTTTATCTTTTAGATCATCTGACCAACTTTTAGTATCAGACAAAGATAACCACAGTTAGTAAACCAAAAAAAAAAGCAATTAAAATCTTATTTAAGGGGGAAATCTACAACAGACTTTGCCTATATGGAAAAGTACATGCCCAATCAAATCATATCTAGAGAAATTCAAGAGCAGACCAGCAGCAGCAATTGGTCTCTGTTACTCTTGAGTTGGTTAGGAGATGGCCGCTCGCACTGAGCCTGGTTCTGCTGAAGGTTTCTTCCTGTTAAAAGGAGTTTTTCCTCTCCACTGTCGCTACCAGCATGCTTAGTGTGAGGGATTGCATCCGAGTCAATGAGTCAATGCAATCAACCGGTTTTCCTTAGATAGAAAACTTTGAATCAATTTGACTGTATGATCTGGTGAACTGTAAATCGTCTTGAGATGACGTGTTGTGAATTGGTGCAAAAGAAATAAACTGAATTGAAATTATGAAGCCACTGCTAATGCTTTTGGACTCCTGCAAACCACAGTATACTGTGGTTGGTCTGCATTTACCAACTGGCTGACTGTACCTTAATGTACTTTAATATATAAGTCAAATGATGGTTGGTGTGATGTTCTATGTAGGTGTGCTTGTTTTGGTGTCAATCAATCAATCAATCAATCAATCAATCAATCAATCAATATGTATTTATATAGCACTTTACAACAACCAGTAGGTACCCAAAGTGCTTAACAAAATGAGTAGAGTCACAACATACAATAGAAAGAGTGAATGTAGAAAACAGTAAAATCAAAAGTTTACAAAGATAGTGAAGAATGAAATTGTCACCGACTGCTAAGTATGGAAAGTCAGCCTAAACAGATATGTCTTGATTTTTGTGACTCCTCCAGGGTGTTTGAAATGAACCCAGAACTATATCTAAAAAACAAAAAACAACTACAAGCAAACCACTGGCCTACCTTATCTTAGGGCCGTAAAAAAAAAAAAAAATATATATATATATATATATATATATATATATATTTAACATAGCTAAAAATAGTAAAACTCAATAAAAGGGTAAAATACAGCATAAAAATATGAAATCAGGCAATGATATGAATTTGTTTAAGGTAAATAAACAAGGTCATACCAATTAGGTCCTGCTGACCTGACAGACCAAGGAGGCAAGTAGAGGTGAAGAGAGGTAAGATGGGGCAGGGTTATTTTGGCACTTAAAAACAAAGATAAGGATTTTAAAATCAACTCTAAAGGCACAGGCACAGGCAACCAGTGGAGCGAGGCCAGGACAGGCATGATGTGATCATGTTTTGTAGAACCAGTTAAAAGTCGTGTTTGCACCAGCTGTATGCGAGACAGCAAAGACTGGCACACACCAACATCTTTTTGATCCTATTAAAACATCTCCCATCATTTTTACCATTCATTCTTTAATTTTTGTTTGATAACACACCAATATGGGCTGGTATCCATAGAAACACCACCGTCTGATGTAATCTGACATAATGTGTTTCTACACTGCACCCCCATACAGATAAAAAACAAAACTCTTTATTAGAAATAGGACCAAGCTGAATATACGGTACTTATTAAATCTCCATGTTGCTTGGTGCATATTGGTCAAACTACAAGAGAGTTATTACATATTTCTGAAAAGATATCCTATACCAGAGCTGCTGGACAATCCATTATTATTACAGCTCCAAATTTGTCACCATGTGAACAATGGCTCAGCAGTAGTCTTTCAGGTGTACAGACTTCACAATAGGCTCGCTCAATTTGAATATTTAGGGGCATAGTCTCTTAGGGATGTACTAAATTATGTTGCTAGGGGTGTAGCTATACTTTTGTTCTGAGAGAATCATTTGAGACTGTTATATAAACAGCATACATGCTTCTTTTCATTGTGTCAAAGCAAAATTTCTCCAGTGTGAAAAGATATAGTTAAGCATCTGCAAAAATTCTGCGGTGTACTTACTTTTTTGATACACTGTACAGTATCTTCGTAACCTTTCCTGACCACAGAAGAATGACCAAAATTAAGGAAGGATTCTACAATAATGCCGGTAACATTTTAGGCTACATTTCACATACGTAACTTGGGAATAGGGGGACAAATTTTCCCCCATTCTTTAATTCTGTTGATGCTCCAGACTGCACACATTAAAAAAACGCCCCTCTGGAGCAGATTAAAGGGATTTTGTTAACAGAGAATTGTAATGTTCAGGTATGAGTATGTTAGAGCTAGGCCTGTCAAATATTTGCATTCATTTGAATTACATTGCCTGAAGACGTCTTGCTACGTCCTGGATCCCTTCTTTAAAAAAAAAGAAAGAAAGAAAAAAACAACCTAACTTTTAGTAAAAGAAAAAAATCAGTTAGGACAAAAACAGATCAGATTTTGCATCACAAACCACTGATTTAAACTATTCTTTTTCCTCTCTGCATCCTACATCTTTTCTGGTTTTAATTACTAAAAAAATAAAAAGTTATACCAATAGCCTTCTAAATGAGCACATTTTCCATGATTTTACTCATATGAAACTAAGACTTTCCCAGCATAAGGTATGAGGAAGATATCAGCAGAATTCCACCAAGCATCCCAGTTCAACAGTTCATTTAAGATTAAAGATTTATCTAAAGGTTTTCATCAGTTATTGAGTAAATAGGTTTAGCTGTAATTTAAGGACAGATTCTAATATATCTGCAATGTGGGAACTATAAATATATTTTTTATTTTTTAATTGCTATTTTGCACAGCTTGCTTAAGTAAGGATTTCTTTGCTGTTGAATATAAGACATTTTGCCAAAATATATTTATATACATACATTGTTTAGATTGACATATCTTTCGACCCCTTTTCTATCATTACATTGGCTTTTATTTGTTCATGCTCCTAGTGATTCATTGATCCCAGTGGTTGTCACCTTTATTCCACTCTGGATTCTCATGAGTGTAGTCTTTGATAACTTAATAACAAAAAAGAAAAAATGAAAAAGAAATGGTGTTGAAAAGTTTGATATCAATTTTTTTCCCTTTTTATGTCAACTGTCATGATTGCTAAGTGACAGTTTATGGCAGTAAAAGCTGCGGATGGCCAGACCGGTTTGAGTTCACAGCCAGAAGTCTTCAGATCTCTTTATTTTCATGGATTATGAAGGATCCAGTGCAGGTCGAACAAGTCATTGCAAGATGCAGCCAATGAATTCGAATTCAGCCATTTTTATTTTTTTATACGAAGGAAAGACTGTATGCTTAGCGGTGGCAATATGGTGACAAGGGCTCTTTGCAGCTTGGCAGCGTGTTCATACTTCTGTACATTTAGGTTTCCTTTAGTAGAAAGTGAAGTTATCTGTTCAATAGATGGATCCAAAAAGGCATTACATAGGTCCACATTTAATAAAACGTATAACCTACCCTTATGGGGAGACCACAGAGTACATCCTCAATGGAACATTTTATTTCAAATTAAAAGATTCAACTGGAGTTTATAAACATGCTTTTATTAACAGGATAAAAAATGTGAGCAAGGTTTTATTCTTATACAGACAGCTGTTACTTTGATCATTCAAAGCAAGTCAGTGTGTAAATCAATACAAACCCCCCCCCAAAACCTTTGAAATAATTTGCATTACCTCAATTGAATTTAACAAAATTTAAGTAGAACTGATAAATCCACCCACCCTCTTTAGTCACATGCCTACTGGAACAGAAAGCTTTACTCATGTAGTAACCTGATCGAGGAGCTTTACCCAAACAGCATACTGAAAGCAAGACACCGCAGGGACTTGAACCCTGTCCTGACAAAGTCAGGAGTGCCACCACCGGAGTCTTTTGCTTTTTTGTATTAGCTTTAAGTTGGGCAAAAGCAAAACCTGAAGGAACAAAGTTTTTGTTCCTCCAGGAAAAGAAAACCCCTCAGCACCACGCTGCTCTAATCCTGACGACAATGGACAGTTCTCTTGATCGTGAGGCTGAAACTAGAAGACAGAACCGTTTCCCCGATCCCAGTATTCCCCACAGAGATATTGGCATTTGACTTATTTCCAATTATGACCATAAAAACAAAGCCACGGTACCAGGATTCCTGTTCATACACAAAGCCATTCCCTTTTCATTGGGGCAGGACTTGATGCTCAAATCAATGCTTCTAAAGCTGCAACAGGAAGGAAAAAAAACAGGACAGTTTAGGGAACCCCCCCACCCCCCATATTAACCCCAGACTGTATAATTATGCCAAATTATCGTTTTCAGATCTGTACTTAACAATGTTGAAATCTTCCACAAATTAAAGTCTGATCCCTAGAGGCTGGCTGAACTCAAGTCATCCCGTTACTCTGCTGATGCTTAAGCTGCTTGGCTCAGTAGCAAGTTTAGCTGATCGCAAAATCTGAAAGGGAGAAAAAAGAGAATAGCGTTGCACCCCCCCTCCCCCAAGAAACACCCTTTACCATTCACTATGGCAACGGAGGACTAAATGAAATTTATGTTGAGTTGTGCAAATTAAATGTTATGCAGAGCTGACTTGCATGCAACATGTCGAGTTACACATTTAAGCAATGAGGGGGGGAAAATAAAATCTAGGGAACCAAAATTACTTAACTTAGCACCCACGAGACTGAAGAGATGCAGTATTAGAAACAAGCTTGCAGTTCTTGATCTTAATGACAGGATTCTCAGTGTCCATCACAGGTTAGGCCATCCCAGAAGAAATTTAGAAATTTGGCAATTTGACCTGAGAAACCAGAGGGAAAGAAAAGGCACAAACACAAAAAGAGCAGGGCTTCTGCAAAGGACGCCAGGGTTCAGATTTAAGCTCAAGCGTACAGGGGGAGGGGGGGGGCGATGCTTCATTCAGAGGGTCACACTTTGTTGACAGCTTCC